CTTACCTTTTCGCATGAACTCAAACCCTTCTTTCCTTCGGCCTTTGAACGCTTTATCCCGAACAAAGTTTGTAGCATCGTTGTCCCTCATAGCAGAGAAGGTACAGTAGGAAACCACCTCATCAATGCGCTGGTCTGACGGAGTCTTGCCCAGGAAGTTTGCGATCTTCACCACGTTGCCTCGCAGGTCCTGCAAACATTATATATTTCAAATCAACCCTTGGAATTGTCGGCACAAGAGATTGTGTAGCACATGGAGAAGTTAACACATGAGGCCCACTCCTTTGGTTCTGGGGGGGGGGGAGTTGGCACACTTTAGATTTTGTCTCATGTACTCACGTTGTGCAACTTTTGCCATCCTTATTCTAAGAAATACAAAATACACCTATAAAAGTAACATTTGCAAAGCAAATGCATAATGTTTTCCTTCGCATATGGTCTGCTCTGTTGATTCTTACTCAAATACTCAAACACATTCACATATATGGTGATAGAAGTCTAAATCTCTCCTACTATAAAATTGCAACATTATGTTACCCAACCCCAGTTACCATGATGAGAGACATACTGGTTCAGTCAGGTCAGAGGTCACTGTTTGGAGAAGAAGAAACGTAGCAAAAACAATATGTTATCCTTCGGTAAACAAAATAAAAGGCCATATACAATAAACGGTCGATCTTACCCGCTTCAAACTTGAGGAAGAGCATGTTTTTGTCATCCTTGTGACGCCAGTACTCCGGAACCACGTCCCACCAGAAACCGTAAGCAGCTGTGTAGGATGGTTAAAACGTCAAAAAAGGTATAGCCTTTTTGAGCTGTGGTTAGATGATCAACTGTCTAGCGCACGGGCCCCACCCCATTTACCTCCCAACCCATTTTGGGTTGAGTGAGGAAAGTCGTGAAAAGTGTCTTTTCAAAGGACACAACGTCTAGACAAGAATCGAACCCGCGACCTCTTCGGATGTCATACACGCTACCTTTCTGCTATAGCCACTTGTCTGTTCAATTTCATCACCAATCGTACACTTGAAATACTACAGATTATTTACCTTTACTTGCCTTGAACGATTACGTTTATATCTAATTGTTGTTGAGAAGGACGAGAATTCATCTGGACTAAACCTTGCCAGAAAACGCAATCTCTAAAACAAGAAGAGGGTAGAAAAACTCTCTTATATTCTCATATATTCGTATCTGTGATTCTGTCATTACAAAATGATGCTGATACTGTACAAAACAACAGAAGGCGCAACTGGACTGCACTGGACTGAAATTTACCTTGCTCAGGATTGATGAATTCTTGGAAGTTTTCGTCAAACGTTCCACCTGGAAGATCCATGCCTTCCCTCATCTTGTGCCAAGACACCACCACGTCTTTCACATTCCTTGCACAGTAAATGATCTGAAAAAAGAATTATCATGTTATATTATGTTTTGCATTTTGATAATAGATAGCAAACTGTTTGCCTCTTCTGTGTTAATCATATCAAGGAACGTCCAGGCCCTGTAAACCAAGCCATATAAAAGCATCCCCGATTATAAATAGGGGCATCAAAAGCAATTGTTACATTTCATATACCGATATCTGTGTGGCTGCAATTTGCCTCAAGTAACGCCATAGAAGAGGTTGAATCATTCCTTTACAACCTTTGTGTTGACAATTATGGGGTTTATTTTCAAAGACGCGCCAGTCATTACTGGATGTGCTGAACACATATGTATCCACTGAATGTAGGAATGATTTACTTAATATTTTGCTACTAAATTGTATGTGTAAAATCACAAGTACTGTACAAACCTTCCCCTTGCCCTCCCTTGCCTGCTCAGGTAACATGTGATACGGCATGTGGGTCTTCATCAGGCGGGGGGAGGGGGCGTCCCTCAGCACCTTGGGCATCGGCTCCCCGGATCCGGACTGGTCCATTGTTTCCAGCCATGGTACGCGGACAAAGATCGGGATCTTGTTCACTTCGCTCAGATCGCCCTCAGTGGACAGTAGAGACACGATCTGCTGTACCCATGTTGTGCCTGGAGCCATGCAGGAATACAAATATGCTACTTTAGTCTCTCTTCATGCTGCAGTACAGACGGGTTATTCAAATACCAGGGTGTGTGTACTTCAAACTGTGCCATGCAGTAGGGCACTCCAGCTATAGAAAGGCAGAAACCTAACCCTCGGTTTGGAAGGAGAATAATCGAATACATGCCCTAGACATTGAATTAACAAATTACTGCAAGAACGGGCTATTGGACATTTAGGTAAGTTACTTATCATACCTCCACGTCTACTAAAGGTGAGCGAAATCCTTACCTGACTTTATGTAAGCTGATATGAAGATGTCGTCGTCTCTCACTTCAAATGACTCTACTAGTTCCACCGCCCGACGGTCGGCTAGTGGGAAGAACCTCACGCCTTTGAAGTGGAAAGTCGGACCGAAGGTGACAGGTGTAATGTTGTCAGTCATGGTGGTTGGTACTGGACGCCGGTGCAGACTGGTCTCTCTTCTTGGTGCTAGTTATTATATACAGTGAAATTTGCCTCGTCACGCCACGTTCGTAACTAACCGAGAACTATACACGCAATACTATGTTTGATTATTAACCTTACGGTCACATGGAAGCTCATTGTGTCAACAGAAAGGTTTCGCGTGTTGTTGAAGTGCATGACGAAGCAGAATGTTTTTGACGTGTGCAATTTTAAGTTCATGCTGTATCATTTTGACTCGTGAAATTGCATGATTGAGCGTATTGTCGTGGACTGTGGTTATTTGACGAAGAAAAAGTGTCATGGACTTGGTAATGTCAAAATGTCACCTCTGACATGGGAGCAGCTTTGAGTGAAGCATACTAGTGTAATGTACTTTTCGTTGATGCAAATTTTCCTTCATTTAGGTAAATAACGTTAAATATTATAGAGAAAAGAACTGGATCATGCATATACGTAATCAATATGTTCTTTATTAGTCACATTGTAACAGAGATGTAACATAACAAACGAATTAACGAACGAACAATAAAACGCAAAATGTAAGCAAATATTTCCTAATTGAGGCAGTGTAATTATTTGTAAAGGGTGCTGCTTCGAAATAATATTGCCTATTATGACCTTATACCGGCAGAAGGAGAGAGAAACACTGCCAAGCTAGGACCGACGAGACCGCAATTTATACCGTCGTATTTGAAATGGGCCAACGCCCAGCTGTATACAAACAACCGAAGGCCTGGTTTTGACAGAACGCGGAGTGTACTAAGTATTCACATTACTCAAACTCAAAAGTCAAATCCACGCCCGCCATTTTCTCCCTGTGGATGTCATCCAGGATTTTGCTCTGCTCCGGACTGAGCGAGTTTTTCCAGTCTCCAACCTTTCCTGGAAAGGAAACAGCATAAGCAAACAATCAATCGAGAACAATTAGAAGCTAAATAATATATTGGAAGTTTATCTGTGCTAGTAGAACCCAGTATACACAAACACATAGAAACGCCTGGACATTTGTCTCATTGGACAAAGTGATTATAAGGATCTTGAAACCAGACTTTTTTGCACGAGGTACTAAAGAAGTCATCTACATCCATCAGGGCAACCATTCCTCAACAAAGATGGATGGGTGGGTGTGGTGTGGGAACTTACCTTTTCGTACGAACTCAAACCCCTCTTTCCTTTGGCCTTTGAACAATTCATTCCGAGAAATGTTTGTAGCATCGTTGTCCCTCATAGCAGAGAAGGTACAGTAGGAAACCACCTCATCAATGCGCTGGTCTGACGGAGTCTTGCCCAGGAAGTTTGCGATTTTCACCACGTTGCCTCGCAGGTCCTTCAAACAAGGGAGGCGAATCAGCCGACGTCAGCAAGAAGATGTGTTTCAGATAGACCAAAGGCAAGGGCAACCAGACAAGGGCAACCAGACAAAGTGCAAGCAATTGATTGGTTGTCCCAAAACCCCAGCAAGAGAGCTTCAGAAGGCCCCTATATAGGCTACCGTGGACCCATTGTCGGGAACATGATACATCGATACTTGTATTAAGAATGGTCTTACCCGCTTCAGGTCCTCAAACTTGAGGAAGAGCATGTTTGTGTCATCCTTGTGACGCCAGTACTCCGGAACCACGTCCCACCAGAAACCGAAAGCAGCTGTGGAGGGTGTGTGAAACGTCAAATATAATCAAATCTTAAAGAAAGGTCGAAGACACAGTATTGAAAGGCGTAGCCCATCCCTCTCCTTCCACGGCCATTTATCTCCAACACCTATGTCAGGTAATCTCTAAGCAGATTCGGTGGGGCAAGGGGACTTTATGTTGGCCACCTGTATCCATTGGCCGCCTGTATACATAATGTCCCCACCGAATCTGCTTGGAGATCAGATGTCAGGTACAAATGTACTAACTTATTTAAATTTCCATCGGAGTTCACAAGAGGCTTTCCTAAGCTTAGGACACAGCGCCTAGCGACCTCTCGACTTCAAAGGAACAGATACAGATAATTTCTTCCATTTGCGTTGACCGATTGTGTTTATTGTCTATATATATGTTGTTGTTGAAAAAGATACGAATGGGCCAGGACACAACCCGCTATTATACGTAACCCCTGTGATTCTGTCCTTACAATGTTGCTGATATACACGTACAGAATGAACAGCAGTAACAGACTTAGAACTTTACCTTGCTCGGGATTGATGAATTCTTGGAAGTTTTCGTCAAACGTTCCAGATGGCAGATATTCGAAGCCTTCCCTCATCTTGTGCCACGAAACCACCACGTCTTTCACGTTCCTCACACAGTGGATAATCTAGAAAAAATAGCATTATGCATCATAGCTTCACGTTTTGTATTTAGAAAAAGATGATTAAGTAAGTCACCTGTCTTTATTTTCTGAAGTCAACACATGTGACAGAATTAGTAAAACCAATTGAACATGGCAAAGACTCCTAAGTGCCATCGTTATGTAAATAATCTCTATGGTAAGACAATATCATCTTTTATGTGTGATTAATGTTGAATATTTCTCTCAGTTCATTTTAGTAACGCTGAAGAAGAGTCAAGTTTTTGTCCTTGAGTATTAGTATCATCACGTATAATGATAATATTCATGATAAGAATTGTTGATTTTTCATGCAAACAGCCCGGCCCCGGTTTGGTAATGTGACCTCAGCATATAAGAACACAGGTGCTGTACAAACCTTCCCCTTCCCCTCTCTTGTCTGCCTAGGTAACATGTGATACGGCATGTGGGTCTTAATCAGGCGGGGGGAGGGCGCGTCCTTCAGAAACTTGGGCATCGGCTTCCCGGACCCTGACTTGTCCATTGTTCCCAGCCATGGTACGCGGACAAAGATCGGGATCTTGTTCACTTCGCTCAGATCGCCCTCAGTGGACAGTAGAGACACGATCTGCTGTACCCATGTATTGCCTGGAGTCATGCAGGAATACACATAATGCTATTTTAGTCTCAGCTATTGAAGACAGAAATAGTAGCACCTAACCTCGGTTTGCGAGGTAAAAGGCGATTGAAGGAGAATAATCTAATACCATGCCCTAGTCTAGACAGTGAGTCAACAGCTCACTGCACCTATACGGCCTCAAAAATGAGCTATTGGACCGTCACCCTCACCATTTCATACCTCCACGTCTACTGAAGGTGAGCAGAACTCTTACCTGACTTGGGATACCCCGACAGGAAAACGTCATCGTCTCTCACTTCAAATGACTCCACCAGTTCCACCGCCCGACGGTCGGCTGTTGGGAAGAACCTCACGCCTTTAAAGTGGAAGACCGGGCCGAAGGTGACAGGTGTAATGTTGTCACTCATGGTGGTTGCTAAAGGACGCCGGTGAAGACTGGTCTCTCTTCTTGATGCTACATGTAGTTATTATATACAGTGAAGTTTGTCCCGTCACGCCACGTTAACTGACCTACTGACACACAATATTATGTTTGTGGTTGATTATTAACCTTACGGTCACATGGAAGTTCACTGTGTCAACAGAAAGGTTTGGTGGGGTCGTGTGGCGTAGCGGCAGAGTGCGCGACTCGGAACTTAGAGTCCCGGGTTCGAGTCCTGACATGCCACCGATCTTGTGCCCTTGGGAAAGGCACTTTACACGGCTTTCCTCACTCAGCTCAGGTGTAAATGAGTATTGTCCTGTCATGTATTTGTCCCCTGTGTTGGTGGCGACATTAATATAAGTTGAAAAAACTTGAGTGTGTCGTCACCACGTCTGGTGATTGATTTCATGTTGGAATAAAAAAAAAAACGGAAAGGTTTCCCGTGTTGTTGAAGTGCATGTCAAAGCAGACTGTTTTTTTACGTTCATGCTGTATCATTTTGACTCGTGAACTATCATAACTGAGCGTAAGCGTATTATCGTGGACGGTAGTTATATGACGAAGCAGAACTCCTTTGTGCAAGTAACTGTTACCTCTTCGTGTATGTGTGTGTGCTTGTTTGTGTATGTTTGAGTGTGTGTGTGTGTGTGTGTGTGTGTAACATGAATGCACATAAACAAACACACACACACACACGCGTGCGCGCACACAGAGAAATATCCAGATATATAGACACACAAACGTGCACACACAAACACACACACACACACACACACACACACACACACAAACATACACAAACAAACACACACACAAAGTCACAAACACATACGTATATACACGAAGAGGTAATAATTACTTGCACAGAGGAGTTCTGCTTCGTCAGATAACCACAGTCCACAATATAAACAAATACAACAATTGCATTATCAGAAATTATGAAACCATACAATAGACATTGAGACAACGTGTCTATTCGTTTTAATTATATTACGCTAAACAACATCTAAACCTAAACAGTTAAACAGTGGTTTCAAAGTTATTACACAGAACAATATGAACATTATTTACACAAACCGTTAACTTCGCTTTCTAGACAGTTCTTTTCTATAATGCAACTAGCAGTAATACGTAATAGTTTATGTTCTAATATAAACAGCAATATGTAATAGGATCTGAATTAGTCAGATTTAAAGTGACAATAAAGTTTCTTAACAGGTAAACCGACTTTGAACTTGAGGAAACGGCCACTTCCACAACGACCAAATCACCATATTGTAAAAGAAGTGTGTCATCGGTTGATTGATAATCACTAATTGAACTTGTATGACCAAGGAGGATATTGGTATGACACTGTAAAATGTTTGACCACACAACAGCGACACCTAGCAGGTAATTTAAAAACGTCAGGCGATGTGGTTGATACCTCCACTATTACGTAAAATGGTGGCGGAACATCTCAATTTATGTGGCAATTTGTCGAGCATAACATTATGCCAAACAAATTCATCTTTCCTGACCACTGTTTGCTCAAAAAACAAACTTGGGGGGCGATGTGAGCAGGATTATTCCTGTGCTTATAAATACCAGAAAGACGGTCCATCTGGGAGGGTATGTGTTCCCAGAGCTGGCGGCCATGTTGGTGTCCTCGTTACCGCGCAATCTCCGCAGCGCCTCGGTTAGAGCCTCCGCCCTCGGTACCATAATATCTGGTGTCACCCCTGGAAATACAAATTGCAAGTTATATACTGATGACTGGCACACATGCATGTGTTATAATTATTATCATCATTGATTGATATCACTGGTGGTAAGCACTATCTGGATGCTACTAGTAACATCTGATCATGAGCCCAACGCACTTATCGAGTAAACAAGAGTTATAAAAGTATAATCTCCAAGCAGATCTTTCTGAGGCAAAGTCGTAACCAACCAGCAAGACAGTATCGTTTGGGGGCCAGTTGGACACTGTTTTACCGGTTGGTTATACGACTTTGCCGCAGAAAGATCTGCTTGGAGACTAATACAAGTGAGCCGTAGCGATGCCTCATTGATATTACACTATCAGCTACTGACAAAAAGCATTGGTCTCAAGAATTCCGCTTCAATCTTATCAACCCCAATGGACGGACGGGGGCAGTTACAAACTTCTAACCACCTTTGACCTGGTGGTCACGTAGGCCAAACGTCCGAAAAGTGACGTCTACTGAGCATTACACTCTCGGAAACGTTACAATAGCCCTGCCCAACTCCGTCAAAACGTACGGAGAAAATAAAAGACAAAACCAAAACCATTATTAAATAAAAGACATTCTCCCATTGGTCGAACCACTAATTACCATTCTATCATTGGTTGAATTGCTAATTGTAATGGATGGACGTTCAAGATCGACGAAAGAAGAAGTACGTTACCTTTGCCGCTCCAGCTGTCCTGAGTGATGGGGTTCCGCACGACGTTGGTCCTGGTCAGGAGGTGGACATCCGTCTCCTCGATAGGAAACCACATCCCCGTGAACTCTACTCCGGCTACGGAGAGAAGAGTAAGGTATAACGGCATCGACTCTTGCGAGGATATGCAACATTATGTAACCCAACACCAGTTACCATGGTGACAGACGGTCTGGTTGAGGTCATTGACTACGCCAGTGACTGGAAAGAAAAAAGAAACAGAGCAAAAACATAAAAAGAGCCTTCTAAAAGCTTCACGAAACTTGACTTACCCGTCGTTTCGCCGATGATGGTGGTCCTGTTCACAACCTGCATGGCGTACGCGAACTCCTCCGCCTCGTTCCGGGTCCTGTTGCTGGTGAGCAGGTACAGTGGCTTGTCGGGATATCTGATACCTCCTGGCACCTGGGGGAAACAAAAACGTACACGTTTTCAGGCTTCCCATAATCCTTCGCTACAAGGTGGTCGCTGATTTTCGGTAGTGTCGTAAAATATTTGGCTTGAGTAACGCAGACGGTAAAACGCTACAAGGTACGATATTTCTCATCAAGTTGTATAAAATATGAGATAGTTTGTAAGAAATATCACAGGCGGTGTGTTTTTTGTACCAGAAATAAATAAGAAATAATTTCTGTTGTCTTTTCATTGACAAGAAACAATTCAAGAGGGTATTGCATATAAGTATGATATTCTATGGTATTCTTATGTACATAATACATTGTAAAGCAGCAGCTTTGAGAGGACTCATGCCTCTAGATTTCACCATCCTTCGGAAGCGGTTGGAAAGAGACTTGGCATACGGTGCGGCAAAATGTACTCCTTTAGCGGAGCAACTCTTCTGGTATGTTATCTGTCTACTTGGCTGAGTCTCTTTCCGGCCGCTTCCGACGCATACCTCCAGTAACGTCCAGTACTGGTTGACGCCGTCCCTATAGTACACGTCCGACAGCGGCACAGACGGAGTAGCGTTGAAGAAGAAAGACGCCCAGTGGACCACGCCCTCTCTATCTCCTCCAAGATTGTGCCGAAGGTCCAATATAATAGCCTGAAATATTTGGCAGCAGCTATGTGTAAGTGCGTAAGTTTTTTTAACTTTTTAAAACACAAAAATATTACATTTTAGGCAAGGACAACGGAGGCCCGGTAGCTCAATAGAGGTGCATACCGGGCTAAGAAAACCCATTTTGTATCAGTGAATCTCATAAATATCACAATAAAAAGCACGGTACTAGTGTTTCCATTCCTCAAATTTGACATTTTCAGGTTTAGAAAAATGAAGTGTTTGACCTTTGATTCATTCAGTGCCGCCATCTTGCCGAGAAAGAACTCCGTCATTTCCGGATCCGGTAAGATGACGTCGACGATGTCTGACATGGACCTGATGGACACGTAGCCGATCTGTCCTGCCAGCAGGGTCACGTTGATGTACCTCTCCCGGTTTTTCCTGTCAAAAAAAGTTAGAACAACGTCTGTGCTTGAGCCGACGAGGTTTATTATGTTTACCCTTGCAGAAAAAAAAACGTATTGTTCTTGCTCTCAGTTTCTACTCCTCCTCCAAACACATGATCTGGTCCAGACGTCTGTCACCATGGTAACTGGTGCTGTGGCAGACACCTTGTGATGTTGGGTTACATTATGCAGCAGAACAGTGCTGGAGGGGCTGGTCACCATATACTAGTATATGACAACAAACAATGCAAACATACCTGAAGTTATCTACAAACGTGCTGAAGTTGTAGAACTCCCTTGGTACAGGTTCCTGTGTAGTATTCTCGTATTTTCCGAAGTCCCAAACCTTAGCAGAAAAAAATAAAGAGAGTTATCACTTATCATAAAGGAGAATACTATTATATCAAATGCCCTTCTTTATAATAAGCGACGCTGTTCAATAGAGAAGGCTACAAATACATGTCATTTCACGTAAGGATGTTTACGACTCATGGATTTTTTGAGATAGGTCAACTCCAAGATGGCAGACATATGATATCACAAATCAAAATGGCGGCGCTCAATGACCAAGGGTAAAAAAAACTGAATATGTCTTTGCTACGTAAAATCTGTAATTAGTTAGTCTATATTGCATTGAAAACAAGTCTTGTCGCCCTCTCACCTTTATGGTTTCGTCTCCTGTGATGTCCTGTAGCTCTGAGGTCAGTCCCTCTTCCAATCGCAAGGGGTCTCTCATGTCATCCTGTGACCATGACTGGCAACAAAAAATAAACTTCTTTGACTTTGAGCGTGGTGTTCAATTCTGTGTCCAGTCCGGTCTATGTTGTCATGGTAATGATGTTTGCCACCCCCCCGTCCTTCCCATAGTGCCTCGCGATTCCCAGCATGCAATTGGGATCCATAAAAAGGTCTACGTAATGACGTCCTACATCAAACTAGCCTGGTATCCAGTCTGACGTGGTTGGAGCGGGCTCTCTTGCGGTGCTGTAGTAACTTTCCCCCGCAGAGTTCAATTGGCCGCCCGGAGGGAGTTTTTGCGACTGCACGGCACAAAAATGCCACGACCGTATGGTGGGCCAATTGAACCCCCGTCGTGCAAAACCTATATAACTACCGGGGAGCCTAGCTATATATATAGCTGAGTTGGGCGGCGAAGAGCTCCTGCAGCCCCGATCGCGAAGAGTGGATACCAGACCTACCTGAAACCTGCGCACGAGTGTCTGGTTCCACCGCTGTAACAGAGTGTGGTCATCTAGTGCCCTCAGGTCCTGGTCCAAGTAGTGGTCCGCCATGACGTCACCTATCCCCATGACAACTTCCCACCAATCAACGGTCGACAGAACGGTGGGAACGAGAGCGAAGAAGACGAGGTATGCTGTAGTTGCCATCGTCTCGAAATCTACACAGTAGAGGGGGAATTATCAACAGATGAAGACTGTGATGTTCTCAGTACTACATACAGACAGAGCAATAGATCAAACGTAGAAGGCTATGGCGCTCCCCGTCTCTCTTCAGGGATGGCTGTAGTAATCTCCAAGCAGATTCTGTAAAGGGAATCCCTATTAGGTTGTAGGGCTCTGATGCATATGGCCTCTTTTATCCCTCCTGCAAAATGGGCTTGGATTGGCTCATTCACTGACAAAGACTGGTGCTGTACAGTCGAAAATTTGAGCAAGTCCAATCAATATCTTGTGGTACAAATCATAGTAGTCAAGAAAATGAATATTCTGTCAGCAAATATATGAACTTTGGAGCTAACGTAACATGCCAAGGGAGCGACAAACTGTACGCACCTCCCCTGGCATGTTATCTGTATTATTTGCCCAATTTCTACTCTTTTCAGCCGCTTCCGAAGCCTGGTAGAGGCTACAAAACGGCCACCATTCCGTGAAAGAAAAGGACATCACTTTTGAACGTCCTGTCTAAGGTTACAAAGGAAGGAAAGGTCAGTGTTCCTGACAAGTCAGATAAGACACCGCGCTAGGTGGGGGCTTCAGGCGGCGGAAGTAGGGGTGATCTCCCACCGGAAGTCGGCAGTCTCCCGGTAGTTGCCGTGGATAGACACTGTCACGTTTTGCACGGTTTTCTCGCTGCGGAACATGGACAGCTGTCACGGCCAGGTCACGCTAACTTCCAAGCAGATGTAGGAGGCACAATCGGGACGTTTCTGTTACAAACTGCAGTGTCTTTCTCGAAATTTTTGGCATAGACTTACATTCTTACATAAGAGCCCTGAACTGGATGGATAAAATGTAACAATTTATACTAGCACAAGTACTACTACTACTACTACTACTACTACTACTACTACTACTACTACTACTACTACTATTACTACTACTTCTACTACTACTACACTACTACTACTACTACTACCACTACTCTGCTACAACTACTCTACCTCTACTACTACTCTACTACTACTATTACTGTTACTACTACTACTACTACTACTACTACTACTACTACTACTACTACGAATGATGATGATAATACACCAGACATTTTTTATAACAATTACTTATTAAATCGCAGAGCTGTAAAACGCTGAATTGCGTACATTGGCCTTAAAACAGGTTAATCAAACAAGGGGCAGTGACCAACTAATTACTAATATTGACTTAACAGAATTAAAACAAACTAAAATGTATCTCCGTAAAGCGTATATTTTGTTGAGGCCCTATAGACAAAACAGCGACTTAGAGTAAACTTTAAGCATCTATTTTAGTTTAAGACAACTCTTCATTGTTCCAGAGAAGAAGGGTTAGTTTATTTGTGCCGGTGCTGTGTCCCAGTCGCTGTGAATGATCAGCAGACCCAACCGTGCTCTCTGCTGTTTATTCAGTAAGAAACTCAGGGAAAGTACTACATTCTGACACATTTTAAGCTACAGGTTACAGGACCCACGAAGAACTAATGCGATGCGCATGTTCTCGCAAAAACATGTAGAGAAAACGTCTCCGGTTGAATCTAACAATACCAGATGTCATGATGTCTTACACCCTTGCATTGACGACTATGCAGAACGGAAATACGTCTGTCGTCGGTATATTTCTGTCTCATATGCGTAACCTGAGTGATGAATAGTAAGAATAGCATGTAATGTTATAATTTACAAGACACAAGTATACATGGAATGTCAGGCATCTAGACTATAGTATATCATCAGCAATCCTGCTTCTTGTAACCTAAGAAGAACCTAAGGCTTGGTATAGTTACAGGTTAGGTCTGCCTCGACCCTGACACCCCAGTAGGGAAGGTAGCGGGCCCAAGCTAGCCTCTACCAGGCTTCAGACTCAATCAGAGGTGGCTGGAAAGAGTAGAAATTGTACAAATAGACAGATAACATGCCAGGGCCTGGGGAGTTGGCAAACTTTAGCAGACCACCTCCCCTGGCACATCATCTGTCTATTTGGACAATTTCTACTCTTTCCAGTCGCTTCTAAAGATCTCTAAAGCCTGGTAGAGGCTAGAAGTAAGCTGTAAATGGCCTGGTACGAGGCTTATACAAACGCCGACATACTCAGTACATTGTACACACCAGCATAGAAAAGATCAGATCAGACGAAGGCAGGAGCTCGAGGATGGGGCAAGCTGATGTCAAGGTCGCTACAAATCTCATACCACCAGATACATTGTCCAACGCCATGATTGATTTTGCAAGTCCGACCGTTAGCCTTGACGAATCGTTTTGGGGCAGAGTCGGGGCTACACGGATCGTGTGACAAGACAACCCGCCACGTGAACTATCAATGTACGTAATTCAACTCACGCCTTCCACATTTTTGTCGTCTATACTGTACTACACACACACACACACACACACACACACACACACACACACACACACACACACACACACACACACACACACACACACACACAAACACACACACACAAACACACATGTACTTGAAAACGAAACCCCTGCGCCATGCTACCCATGTCTAAACCACACGTTCTTACCATACCCACCTATTTACTTCTTCCTCTGTTGTGATGATCGTCAAATCTTCTCTCTGTCCCTCTTCTGTGGGTCTTGATCGCAGTCCAGCGAAGTTCGCCTCTGTTTCTTGTTCACACGCAGTCGATGTATTGAACGAACAACGTAAACAAACACAGTGGACCCGGTAGCTTATCTGCCGTGCAGTGTGGCGGACGGCTAGCAGGTATGGGGCAGTTTTTACTGCGCGACGCTCCGGGCGTCTGAACCTACCGGGGGACCGTCCAGTGTAGTCCTGACCCACTTCTAACAAAGCGTCGGTGGAAATCTGTAGAGACGGTTTCTGGCGCAGTCGCAGAAGAGTGAAATTAATCTCCAAGCAGATACTAGTACTTGGAAGCTGCAAGATTGTATCAAATTGGCAAGGCAGCAGTAGCCTGGGTGCCATCCGATTTGTAAAGGCTACCGCGAAAGAATTTTTTCGGGGTAGCCGTTACAAATCGGATGGCACCCAGGCTAAGGCAGCAGGGTTTAGGCAGCATCCATTTGCCATCCAAATAAAAGACACCAGCACGAAAAGAAAGCCAGATAAAAGCGCATAAAAATACGTCAAAAATAAGCCGAAACCAAAACCTCTGCTTGGAGAGTAGAGTGGGATGGGCGAAGGACTACACCATGGAAAATTGTTTCGGTCTGTGACAGATTGAAACGACGGTAAAACCAGAGTGAGACAAATTGAGAAGAAAGGGGGAGGTTCCCTCCAAATATCAATCACTCTAGGAAGTCTACCAGGAGGTGGACCAGTAATTTTCTTCGTCATATGTTTTAGATTGGAATCAGTCACCGATCAATGCAAAGACATCTCATTTTGAAGAGCCCCCTCAAAAATGTTTATACAGTATCATTATCTAACTACGTAGTGGGATATTAATGAAGATATATATATTGAAATGAATTAAAGGCAATTTCACTTTCCTGTAGGCAAAAGTATATATAGAATTGAACGAAACAGTACAATTGAATGTACTGAACCCACGATTTTCAGTGTACCCAAACAAACTATTCTGGTCAGCCAGATGGTTGTTTGTAAAAGCTGGATATGGCATCTTCAGTCTTCCCCACCCTTGACCCTGACCTCTGTGGCCAAGATGACCTTCAACTTGACCAGCTAGCCCGATATAGATTCCTGTGTCATGACAGGTTTCAGGGGGAGGATCATATAGAGGTGCATACTTGTGAGGGTCTGCATGCATTTTTCCGTGAGCTAGGGCCATCCTGAATTTGCTCCGGCTCTTCTCATCGTAAAGCGTTGCCAAGATTCCTCCATGCAGACCCTCACTTGTCAGATCTGGGTTGCCTCCCACGTCACCCGGGGTCACGGCGCCCAACTCCCGCGCACTGCCACTTATTTTCTCAGGTGGAAAGCATTAGGAGTAATCCGATACACGGACGTGCCGCAGGGTGGCGCTTTTCAACGAGTGCGATCTTTGTAACCATGGCCATGGAATCGATTCCATGCCATGGCAGGGAACGTACTGCGCCTGTGCGAAACCCGTAAAAAAAGTATTGTACGTACTACACAGTGTACTGGTAGCATTTCAGCAGAACGACTCGTTTACGATCGTATTCGTAAAATTCTGAGGCATCTGAGCCAAAAATTTGACGAAATCGTGATAAAGATATCGGGGGTTCGCACAGGTGCAGTACGTTCTGCCGATCGACGTGCTGTCATCCATACCACGTATGGATCGGAGTTAGCCTGCTGCGCATGTGTTACCCAATCTGTCACCCCCGGGGCTAATTGGCCCCCTTCTAGAAGGCGGGTCAGCGGGGCGGGTCGCTAGGCGCTACTGTAATCCCCGGGCAGATTCCTTCGGGGCAGGACAAGCATTATCCATAATAATTGGCCACCAGTTACCATCAGCCCCCGTAGAGCGAATGGGTAACTAGTGGCCAATTTGATGCTGCCTTGCCCTTCAGATTAATAGCTTGGAGCGCGATCGGAGTCCTGGCTTCATTGAAATGTAGCAAAGCAGTAATTTTTTCCATGCGTCAGGACGGAAAATTGTTTAGCGAAAACAACTACCAGACCCCAGAAGCGGCTGGAAAGATTAGAAACTGAAATTATGGATTCCAGCCGAGTGAACATTAATTTTCTATTCCTAAACCAAATGATGCTGTTTGGCAGTTTGTCCCCTGAACTACGTATATATACGAACATAGTATCTTCCAGCATTAGAAGATTTAAGGTCTTATAATTAAAACCGTGAAAGCTCTGTACAGTAGGTCAGTCCCTTTGCCTTTAGGAAATTAAAGAACAAAAAATACTAACCGCAAGCATATTGACTTTTGCAACAGGCATTTATTGGAATATAATCCCATCCGAACAGGAAAAAATATATAGGTAAAACCGTTCTAAAACAACGAAATATGAACTTTTCACCAACTAGAAACTGTACTCACGACACCTATCGTAATGCAAACGAATTACAACCAAACGGATAATACAAAGAGAACGTAATATATGCCTGCTATTGTCCGAAGGTAACACGTATGGCGCAGCGACTCCAACGTTACAAAGAAGTTAACTTTTACATAAAACATATATCAACAAACGGCTTCTAAAACTTTAAGGTAAATGCTGCTAAGTTATAGTTTCGCCCAAAAAGTCACTCACATCAAAATTGGAAAATGTAAGTAATTAAAAAACATTGGCATTGCCACTTCCCTCATGCGTAGCAGCCCGGTGTCTTTGAGCATGTATGCGACTTACTTGGGATGATAAAATAAATGGCAAAATGTAAAGTTTAACTTATCTCCAAGCAGATCTTTGGGTGGCTGCAATTAAGTATCAAATTGGCAAGATAGTATCAAATTGCCCAGGCAGTACATTATCCAATGCGCCAGGTTGATACTGTCTTGCCAATTTGATTTTATTGTAACCGCCCAAAGGTCTTGGAGTTTACATACAAAAGACTAAAACTAAATAGTTAAATATTTGCCAATTATCAAGGCGTGGACAAAATTTGGGTAGTTTGTTGACCTCAGTGAGCAAAGGAGCCCTTACCTTTGCCATATGGCCGGTAAGGAAGAAATGTGCTGAAATTAAATCTGAAATTCAAACTGCCATTTCACGAGGTTTCAATCCATTTTCCTTGCCCTGGCCTGACCAGGTTAATACCGAAAATCATTTGGCTACAGTGCCCCATATGTAAGGGTGGCCATGTACTAGCTACGTAATGCTGCACTCACAAGGAAGCTGGTAAGTATGTGTTATTTATTGTCTGATTGTAATGCGTACTCACAACTGTAACAATATATAAGCTCTGCTTTCCCATGGAAGCTACGAATCACAGTTGAATCCCACGGAAGACTGCGCTCTAAACAGGAACGATAGCTTTATCTTATATTCTCAGTCAAAAATTCTCTCATAGAAATCTTTACATTATGTACTCTTTCTTTCTAATATGGTACCGTGTCTGATTTACCTTTCCCAATAATCATATGTACAATCTTTGTACAGCACCACCGCCCAGGAAAAAACAAACAAAACACCAACCGCAAATATTTACAGCTGAAAACCAACTTGGAATTAACACAGCAAAAATATACACGTTATATAGTATAAGGGCGGTGAATGCAAAGCAGCCATGTACAACTATTCGCCAGTACCGATGATGCGAAACGTTGAACTGGAAATATCACGAAAACGCACCACGTATGGCGACTCCTGCTAGCAGATATAAGTATGAAGATTTGTGTGCACACCTTTCCTGTAACAACATGATTCTCCTTGCTATGTGCTTTAACCAATCAATACATGCATATGCTTTAGACATCAGAATACTTAAGACGAAAACGTTACAACTGGACCCATTGCTCCCTACAGCTTTTCGGTAAGAATCCCAAGAAGTTCTTTGAGGCCCGACGTTAACTCTAACAATTCGACAACCGGTTCTTCGGTTTTCCTGGACGCGGTCTCAAAACTGCAAACCATCCCATCTGAGTACCTTGTCACGACGGAGTCCCTTCGTACCGCATTTTCATTGGCTCCGAGCTCTACCAATAGATTCGCACTGTCGACATCAGCGCTCCGTTCTGATTGGCTCCCCGCGGGCTCTTGTCCTGATTGGCCCATGAGGTCATCATTTGATTGGTTGCTGCTGTTTGTATCCAGCCAAACGTTGAGATTTTCCGTCCCAAACAAAATAGGTGACTGCGTATGTCCATGACTACTCCCCGCAATATCTGAAGACGGCGCACCGGCGCTAGTTTGAAGTGTCTCACTACCCTCTGTCATGGCGGTCTTCTTCATTTGCATCCCATCACTTGAACCACAAATAGAGCTTGTCTCAGGATTATCCCCAAACAGTTTCTCCTCTGTCCTTCTTTGTGTGTCGACCATGCTGCCATTTTCTTCTGCGAACACAACATGGGATGCCTCGTCAACAGAAGCGTCTCTTCTGTCAAAATCGGCGTTTTCCGACTTTCCTTCAGCTGGTGACCAATTTGATGCATCACGATGTTGATCTTCCTCAGCGGAAGATGTTTCGGTTGCGATGCACACCTCTCCATGTGTTGTTTCAGTCCTATCCATTTTCTCCTCCTCACCAAGAGTGACCTCACTGTCTGTTGTTTGTAGCTTACTCCCTGTGGCACTGTCCTTGGTGCTGAAACGTTGGCTTCCTTCCGCGTCTGTGTTATCTTCCTTTCTGCACAGTTGGCTGAGTTTCTGATCGTTGCCATTTTCGAAAACACGAGAGCTGTGGTCTTCGGGCAAAGCCACCTGAAGAGTTTCAGCTTTCTCCATTCCACAGTAACTTTGTTGAACGTTTTCACGCTCTGGCAGTTCGGGGTCTTGTCTTTCTTGGTTAGATTCAGAACATACCTTCCTATACGTCTCTGTTGTACGGTCGTCGTCTGTGTTTCGGGCATCTTCCCTCAAATCGCCAATTGTCAGCAAAGTGTCTGACAAGTTTCTTTCATCTACTCTCTCCAGATTCACTTCATAATCGTCGTAGGATCGAAGCGTGGTCTCAGTACTCAGTTTTTCTTGGACGTCGCCCTGTGAACTGCTGCAGATGTTTTCAGCCTGTACTTGATCCGGTACTTTACGTTCCCCAAAGGGGAAGTTCTTAGCAAACGACGTTCCTCCGGGGACTTCTTGATCTTTTTCTTGGACAGCACCGGGAGAGGTTGAGTCGGAGGCAGACAAAGGAGGACTGCTCCGTGACGGTTCCTCTTGTCCAGAGCACGCTACCAGACCGCTGGGGACCTCCGTAACTTGGCTCTCTGAGATCTGTGTGACGAAGTTGCTCTTACTCATGCATACCGGCGTCTGATTGGCCAGTTTAGCCATCAGCTGTTCTCGTGAAATCTCCAGATGGGTCATGACGTCATCAACAAGCAGGTAGTTTCGACACCTAGAAAAAAAAAGAGTTACACTCATCATTATAGGGCGTAATATATGTGACCATTGAACTTTTTTTTTGCTGAGGACGAAGCCGATCGAATTTCTAAGATACCACAACAATGCGTTTATACAATGCCCAACACGTTATAATTATTTCGAGGACATGAGGGAATGAAGTGCACCGTTAAAGTCTAGGCTAGTTCGTTTTAGTTTGTCGCAAAGTGCCCTTCGCGTCATTCAATGCGTCATTAGTGGGTCATCCAATGCGCCATAAGTGCGTCATTCAATGTGTGGTTAGTGCGTCACCTACTGCACGGTTTGTGTGTCCTTATTGTGTCCTCTGGCTTGTCAATATTGCGCTATATAGTGTGAAGTTAAGGTATACCAGTAACTGAAGATCGTCAAGCACATGATATTGCTGTATAGAAAATAAATCAAGTTAGGGACGCTAGGATTCCGCACTAATGATAACATCGTCATTACGACTTACCCCTCTCTGAGGTTAATAAGAAGGTTGTAAGCTGGGACATGGGGACGCTCTGACATCTCAAACTCGAAATCATCCGGATCAGATTCCTCCTCCTTTGGAATATCAGCAAACACGTCCATACCGGTCCCCTCAGATCGGTTTTCTGCAAGAACAGCATATATGGATGAGTATGAGACTACTGTATTACCTAGTTTATGAGCAACTAGAAAGGTAACATTTGCAAAGCAATGCATAATGTTTACCTTCAAATGATATGGTCTAGCTTAACAGATTATTGCTCTGCTTATCCTTATGGTAACCAGTCCTGCCAACACCTGCTACATCATGTAATCCAACACCCCACAGTATCTGCTACAGCACCAGTTACCATGGTTACAGACGTCTGCTAAAGTAAACATTATACCTTTAGTTTATCCTGGTAGCCTGGTAGCATAGGGGGTTTTATCGACCTAGGTTCGCCACGCATTGGCTACACTTTCCTGACGGCCGATCTTTTCTATCATAACTGTGCCCGAGCGCGAGCGACGCCCACAAAGAAAAAAAATCACCGGAGTGCTAATATACTAATGACTCATAACGAAGCTTACCCATGATAGCACAAGATCCACTGAACTCCCATGCTCCCTCATTACTGTCGTCCTCTTCCCGACCTGCCAGGTCTCGGAAATGATCTGGGGAAAAAACAACAACAAAACACTCAAACATAACATTTCTGAATTTATGAGGGACAACGTGAACGTTATGTTATGGGGCTTTGTTTATTTCTACTTACTGGCCGTACTGGTAATGGATATCGATAAGAGTAACGAATAACTATCTGGGGTTTTTCTCTTCGACTTTTTTATATGTTTTAATGTCGAAATGTTATGTCAATGACAAAGTCTTCACCTGTGATGAACCTCTCCATGATCTCACTGCGGCAGAGAGAGGAGATGGTACGTCCTGAGTACGTGGCCAGACACGGGTCAGCCCCGTAACTCAGTAACATCCGTACTATCTCCACATGGTCGTTCTCAACTGCGTCGTGAATGGGTCTGTGAAAAACAGGAGTTTAAGAGTTATTTAACACACAATTTTGATCGACTTTTTATCATAGACTTAACAAGTTAAAAGCCACATGCAACGACTAACTGAGTTGTTTTTTTCTAAGTTTGTGGAAAAATAGTTCAAATGATTACGGTAATATTTGTTCAACACATCGCTGTGAACGATTTTTCACATTAAATTGATTTGAATGTTAGATATAGCCGCATGTAAAGACATAATGCCAAGTAGTCTGTATAACGCAAACTCTACCGTCCGCGGCTTTAGTGGCCCGTACATTTCACAATGAAAGCAACTTTGTTTTGCCAAACATCTTTTTGACCCACCTTGTGCCGTCCTGAGCGCTACAGTTCACGTCGCCTCCGAACAGGATGAGGTCCTGCACGATCGCCCTGTGGCCCCTAACGCTGGCCTCGTGCAAGGAGCTGTAACCAGCGTTGTCCTGGGAGTTCACATCCACATAGCGCGTCTCCAGGCAGTAACGCACAACCTCCTGTACAAGGTAACATATTTGGTTCATTCCAGCTTTAATCAACACACATAAGATCACACAAATTTATTTTCATATATTACTATTTGTATGATGCTTAACTTAATTGCTTTATTACCTGTTTTGTGTATTTTTTTTTCATATATTGTTCAGTTATTTGGCTCTGAAATGTATGTTAATGTTGTTTTGCTCTTTGTATGGGGTAAAGCAACCTGAAAAAGTACATTTGCGTGCATATGCACCTGTTTTGCCCTCCCTGTCACTTTATGGAAAATCCTAATAAACAAATAAAACGAGACATTTTTACACCTTACAAAAATCTAGCTACCCATTTACCATCATTATTTGACCTCAGTTTATTAGTTAAAATCTTTCCCATAACTTTTGGTGTATTGGTCAGCGCCAATCTCTGTTTCTATCCCAAGCACTACAGCAGGTAAGTGCATTTATAAGTGCATCGGTAGTGGTTTGTCTACCAGTGATAACATTTTATTCTACTGCTCTAGCGCTAAACACATTAGCGTGTAGATATATTTAGTAATATATATTTTACTGTAATGGCAAAAGATTCCCACCTCATAGCCTAGTCTTGAGGCTCGGTGCAGGACAGTTTCCCCAGAGCTCTTCTGTATCAGAAGCTTCTTCATCTCGGGTGGCATTGGAGGTAAGTCTGGGTGTGGTACTGCCTTCTCCTCCTCCTCTTCCTCCTCCACTGGGTGATCGTACTCCACAGTCTCTTCATCACTCAGAGGCTCTTGCTTGATGTGAATCAGTTCCATCTATGAAATAATGATTTATGTTCATAACTCCAAGTTCTCCAAGATTAAAGCTTATCAATAATCAACAATTGTGACTGTGAATGAAATCATGCCAAAAGGCAGACCTAGAGTCCTGCTTGGGTAATACTATTTTATGTAAATGCATTTATACATTTGTTTACTGCTTAAGAACCCATTGTCTCCCATGATAGCCTCCCTGGTGTCCCCGTGCAAGGTTCAAGGCTACTGCTTACTTGTTGCAATTAGTCTTTGGTCATGGACTACAACAAAGTTAAAAAAAGATTTATAAACTTCTAGTTATTATCATTTAACATGCATGCCCCTTTTACCTAATAATCAACATGTCTACTACATACATCAACAACAGGCAGTTCTTCCTCTATAGTTCTTGCAGGAATGGGGGCTGGTTCTTCCTCTGGTTCCAGATGTCTGGACTTGTATTTCCTCTTTCCTCCTGGTTTCATGGATAAGTCTGCCACGTCTTCGTTCAGTGCTTTTGGAGGCCCCCTCTTCCGACCGGGCCGCTTTCGCTGGACCACCTGGGCCTCCTCCTGCGGAACCTCTGCTTTGCATTCTGGGACAGGTGACGGGCTCATGTTACACGACGTGACCTTGTAGGTGAATGCCGGGTGACCTCCAGTCCGACGGGCAAAGTACCTGCCCTTGGAGGAAGGTCCTTCTGTCACCAGACATTTCTGGATCTTGATTTTTGGGGACAGCTGTGCTTCTATCTGTTCGGGAATGACCTTGGCATTCGCTGTGCTGGAACAGCATTTCTTAAGCAACTTCTTTCGCTGCTGCGCCATGTTGGAACGATAGAGGTCCTTCAAGTTGATTCGCACCTTCAGGTTGTTGAGGTCGACGAAGCCGCTTTTCTCAGGATCGTCGTCAGTTTTGTTATTCTCGGCGGCGGCGGCTTTGCGAGCCCAGTGTCGGCGCGCTCTCCTGTGGGCCTCCATCTTCATACTGGTTGTGGAACCGCTCTGGCCTGCCTTCCTGGCATACTTGGAGAAATTAGCTGCAAATGGAGAAAGAAGTTAATAACTTTCATTTGCGAAGAAGTTTGATACTTTTTGAAAGTTTGATAAGTTTGACCAAAAGTAGCTCACCTTGAATTTTTGGTCACTTTTACATCAACCTTCTTTAGGAGTGATGTTGATTTAATTACTCTGAGCATGTGACCTTTTGGCAGGACATTTTTGTAATTTTAGGATGTATAGGATGTATGTATATAAAGGCAGAGAGAAAAGAATGTAAATTCAGGACAAGTTCACATTCTTTGAGGGTATGTCCAAACAATGTATGTGTACATAATGACAGTATGGTTTGTCAAAAGCATAAGGCCTTGTGCTGATCCAATTGCATGCTGGGAGATATGGGCAATACAGGTACGTAGACATGGTGGCAAACAACACCATTACTATGAGAACATAATCACATTTGCAGTGCATGCAACACTGTGTCTGGTCATGTTGTCATGAGTCTCTCCCCCCCCCCACTACCCATGGTGCATTGCACCTCCCAGCATGCAATGGAATCCGTGAAAAGGTCCATGTACACTGACCTGCGGCCACCCCCCTAGTCCTGGTGGGTAAGATGGTTGGGTAGAAGTCCTGGAAACCGGGCTTACGAACAACCAGATGGTTCTTTCTGCTGTAGATCATCTCAGGACGAAACAGTTCCGAATCTGAAGAATTATGAAAAAAATAATCATATTCTTTCCTACATAAGCTAAGATACACATATACAAAATAGCATTAAAGCAACAAATAGCGAATGAAAAATTGTGTGACTGCAACAAATAGCAGTCAAATTTTAGAGTTGTTTTATAAAATAGAAACTGTGAGTTACACACTATCTATTAAAAAGGAATAGCAGTAGGACTACAACACTAATTGTTGCTACCTTCTTTAGCCCCAGTACTCCTGACAATGGTGTCTGAGGGGAGAGCTGTCTTCTGCTGTTGTGTTGTGGTGTCACCAGACTCCTTGGTCAAGTCAGAGCAGCTGGCTTCTTCCTACATATACAGTTTTAGTGTTATGATTAGCCTGACATTCATTCTATTGTACCCAAATCTTGATTATTTCACTGTATATGTGCAAACAAACAATCCACTTCTCTTATGCTATAAAATCAAAGAAAAATGCAGTACTTACAGCATTGTTGCTGCACTCAGATGTTCTGGAAGCAGTCCTTTTAATCTTGCGGGGACGTTCAACTGTGTCAATATCAAACAACACTGACATGAATTATAATTTCCCTTACTACTGAGGTGTATTACAATACATGCACTTGTCTCAACACCTTCTCAATTTCTATAGCCCTAGGGCCAACCAGTTTGGCAAGTGCTACAGAAGGGGGCAAGTCTACTGGAAGTGATTTATGTTTAACTGCCATAAAGTGCTATGTGCTAAGCAGTATGTAGCAAAGTCAGAGCCTAAGACCCAGGTTTATGCTTGGTGCACTCAATTTATAAAGTCTGGTTCATGTTTTCCTCTCTGTGATTTGTTTAGTGATGTCCCTTTGCTATATTTTCACCTTAAAATGTCTGAAAACTAAGAAAATAACTTGGAGTGGCCTTGGTTGTTCTATCGGTATCTCTCACCTCCCCGCTGCCACATCCCTCTCCTACGCCCCCGCGGGTGCCCTGCCTTTGGCGGCCGCCCTGGTCCATGGTGCTGAACCGTGACATACGAGTGGTGTGAACCGATGTGCCGCCCTCCCCTGCCCCTGCCCACACCCATCCCCACAGGCCTGCTGGAGGGAGTTTTCCTGACGACAGCCTCCACAGGCAGACCCTTGTCTGCTAGCTCCATCTCCTGGAACCGCATCATAGCACGCTGGACAGGGAACACAAGAAGTTATGATTTCAGGCAACTCAACTCTGGCATGTATCTATCCTATACTTATGTTTACCTTCGCAGAAGGAAAACATATTGGTTTTTTTCGCTGTTTCTTATTCTCCTTCCTGTAATAATGCCTTAAGAACGTGCTACCATGTTGTTGCTGAGGACCCTGCCTCTTAGAGCACATCGGAGCATAGATTTTGCACAGAAAACCAAATGCCAATCATTTCTATACTAAGGGGTGCTAGACTTTTTATCAAGGAAGCAGTCAAAGGAGTGGACTGATGCTAGACTTGGATGGACACCAGGATACTCTCAACAATAAGTTCACACAAAATTCATGAGGTTAGTCTCTCAGGGCTCGAAATACCAAAGATTGTGTCTGTGCAGGTCTATGTGCACCTAACCTGCACTGGTCCATGTACTGGGTTTACATACAAATGTATGCAAAAACAGTATTTCGAGCCCTGTTTCTCAACCAAAGACTGTATTTCAATGTCAGCTTCTCTACCTGAAGGTATCTCTGTTCTCTGCCCAGTAAGGATGTGTCCTCATACAGGTTCATAGTCTTGGGCGGCTTCTTGTCTCGGACGAAGCCTTCCGAGTCCTTCAGCCTCCGGAACTCTCTCTCCTGTCGCCGTGACAATGGACCAGACCTTCTTCCGTACCTCCTGTGCTGGAGACCCTCCATGTTTGTGTCAGCCGTGTCACTGAAAGTGCTGGATTCTGAGTCCCTGAAAGAAGTGTGGAAATATAGTGTTAACACTAATATGCAACCTTCATCCAGTATTTCAGCAGTTTCCAAAATGTAAAGTAAAAGATCAAATTCTACATACTGTGACTACAAATCACTTTCCTACATTATGTCATGATTTTGACAAAAACTGCAATCTTCTTCCCCACAAAACACAATGATGCAAAGCCTCAGATAACTTGTTTCATACATACCTTCTGTTATCTGTGGAATAGTCTGACATTTCTCGTTGACAGTCCTCTTCTTGGTCAGATGTCATCCTTTCAGAAACAGTCAAACTTCTAGGACCTTCTGACTTTTCCTCTGGCACCCTTTTAGCAGGTTTTTGTGATTTGCTTGCAATTTGTTTTAATCTGTCTTCTCTTCTTCTTGCTCTGTTTGATGCTTTTGTGAATTTTCTTGGTTTCCTAGCAGACCCATTTGTCGTACTTGTAGTATTCAGTACAATGACAGCTTCAGGTGATGATGTCACACTTGCTGGCCCTTCAGATGGTTCTGTGACTGGTGCAGGACTGGGAGCTGATTGGTTGCTTGACGTACTAGAGGAAACTGCAGCTGACGCAGCAACCGACTTTGGTTCAGTTTTTGATACATCTGGAGTCGAACGATGCACCTCCACCTTTTCGTCTCTTTCCTCTTTCCTTATTGAGGATTCTCTATCTCTGTCATGACTTTGTGTCAGATTTTCTTCTTTACACTGTGATTGCAAAACAACTTTGCTTGCCCAGGATGGTCTATGTCCAGAAATCGTGCTGTACTTTGTGTCTAATGGTTGTGAAACTCCCGCTGTGGTCAAAGGTGCACTGCTTGTAGATGTAGGAGTTGAGGTGTGCGGTCCAATGCCTGGGGAAGAATTTGGGAGACCAATTTTGGTAATGGAAAAGCCTAGATTTGAGAAAGGAAATCCTGGTGGCGAGACTGAATTTGTGGTCGTGTTTGTGTTTGATGTTGGCAGGGGGTAGAGGGCTCGTTGTGTGGGCAGGTTGGACTTCATGGACAAAATCGCAGCAATGTTGGCTGGTGTTGTTCGGATACAGGTGGAAGATGGTCGGGAATGTGGTGATCTAGACATCCTCAATGGTGAGACATTAGCCTGCTCTTTTACTGCTTTGCCCTCGGTCACTTCTGTCTTCATCGCTGTCATTGGCTGTTTATCCAAACAGATTGACTCCTTTGGTCGGTTTCTGGTGTCTGCATCCTTGTGAGAGCCTGGTTGTTGCACCTTCAAGTCGGTGACGGATTGTATCTTCACAGGCAAACCTGTCCTTGTCTTGAACTCTGGGCTGCTCTTGATTTTAGCAGGAGGCGAGACCCTAGTCTTTACTTTACTTTGTTGAACGGCATACACGGTTCTACTTGGGGGTGACACCTTGGGTGCCACTGGTGTGTTATCTGAGTGGGACAGTGCAGGTTTCTGAAGCATGCTCTCCAAACATGGGAATGCACCTATGTGTTTGGTGTCTCCCTCCCCAAGCAATGTCCTGCCTTCTGTTGGTGGAGTAGAGGGTCTGCTGGGGTGAGGGGAGGGGGATGGGGACTCCATGGGTGGGGGGGCCGGTGAGCCCAGGGGGGTGGACATATTGGAGAGAATCTCTGCCACCTCCTGTTCTCGTGCGTCGCGAGGGCTGTTGGCTAAGTTTCTCGGGCTGTTTCCGGGAGGCCCCAGGGGCATCAGCTTGGACCATATGTTACGTTCTATAGGCGTGGGTGAGGAATCGACAACCATTGGAGGCACCGCGAGAACAGGGTGCTGAGACGAAACAGGTACTGTCAGCTTACTTGACTCGTGTATCTTACTGGGACTGCCAGAGGTCTTAACATCATTGTTTCTAGATACCACTCCCTCCAACTGCACTTCTTTCTTTGGAGTTCTGACTGTACCAGGCATGTCCTGTGACAGTGAGCGAGTGGGAGAATCTTGTACGCATGACAATGCTTGGGGGGACATTCTGGTAGGAGCGTGCTCAAAGGTTGAATGAGCTTTCATCAGTCCTGATGCTCCTTGAATGATGGGCTCCTTGCTGAATGGAAGGGATGCCATTGTAGCTGCTTGAACATCCACCACATCAGTACTCTGGGAAGAGCTCATGAGAGGCTGAACTGCATGCTTGAAGGCAGATTGCGTGATTGGGTGAGCTGTGTGCTGTGATGACGCTGCAATGGGTCGAACCATGGTTGCCTCAGCGAGTTGCTTAGAGATTGTCACTGGTGGAGAACTGACTGTCGCCATGCTCTGGATCGGGGCTGCCATCGGGTGAATTGTCGCAGCGACAGCGGAGGGGGTTGTGGTGGGCTGGGGAGCAGCAGTACTGAGGATGGGTGCAGACTGCGACTTGTTGACCATGGATGGTGTCTTCAGCAGCTGCTCCAGTGTTGGAGTCCTGCGGGTGAGCACACTGGCTGATGCCAGCAGACCCATCATGTCAGAGGCAGAGGAAGGTCTCATGAACACATTGCTGGGAACACCTTCAGACACACCATTGCCATTCTGGGCATGCCCTCCCCAGTTCCTAACCACACTGGGAACGACAGTTGCCATGGGGATACCATGAACAGTTGAGGCTCCAATGGGGGCTGCCCCTGCGTGACTCATCTTTTCACAGCGTGGTAGATGTGGTAAGATCTGAGGCTGCTCTGGTCTGCCAGAAAGTCCTCTTGCGATAGGCAGGGTGAGGGGGTTGTACATGACCGTGTTTGGGGAGTGCCGCGCTGTCTCGGAGAGTGGGGAGTCTTGCATGATGGGAACGGGAGAGCGAGCAATGTCAGGAGACAGCAATGCGGGGGAGGAACGTGTGCGAAGTGACGCCATCTCCAATGAGGAGGGAATGGGTGGGATGGGTTTAGGAGACAGGACAGGCGGCTGGAGTGTGTGTCGGGTTTTCGAGTTTCCTGCGGATTGCAGGTGGGATGCGGCTGAACCGTTCCTCTTCAAGGACAGGTCCCAGCGGTCCATTGTCATCGCCTGTACAGGTTTGCAGCAAGTGGCTGTCCCCCTGTGGACTGAGTTCAGGGGGTAAGGCATGCCTCTAGCAGAATGGCCTCCCTGGGTTTAGGGATACGAATCTGCAGCGGCGTTGTCAGGTCAGACATGCTGTCATTTTGTGTCGCCTCATGTTTTGCCCTGGATTTGTGATGGGTCTCCATCTCATACTCTGTTGCAGAACTTGTCATTGTTGGGATAATGTCATGCCTATCTGCATCCACCTCACTCGACATGCTTGTCAAAATACTTTTGTGTAAAAGTGGGGGAGGTCTACGTAAAGATTCTTCATCTGAGGTGTCTACACAGTTGTCTTTCGATGTTCTGACAGACGAGGTCCTTACACTTTCTGAAGACTGTAACGTCTCCACTGAAGCTGGGACTTCAGGAAGGGGAATTATGTGCAACAAATCTCTTGCTATCTCCTCAGCCATGCTTCGAGCATTTTGTTTCGAATTCAAAGCATTTCTTTTCTCTTTACTTTTGCTTGATGAATACACCCTTAGCGCCCTGTGTCTTCTAACACCTTGTGAATTTTCTGTGTCACGAACACCACTTTCAGGTGCTTTTTCATCTGTCACTTTCTTTGGCTGACTTCCCAAAGGATGTTCATCACTTATTGGTTTTACCCTATCATGATTGGAATCTGCTCCACTTGTTCTAAGATGACCAATTGATGATGATTCTGACGCTGTTTTAAGCAGAGGAGAAACAGCTTTCCTTGATGCAAGTCTTGGGTCTTTGGTTACATGGATTCCTGGATACCTTCCTTCCCTCAATGTGGTCCGTGGATCTCTGTAACCAACTTTGTTGTCAGGCCTTACTGCCATAGACTTTCTATCATCTTTCTCAGGAGTTCTATTACTTTTGATTGTCGAATTCCCATTCACCTTTGAGACAGCATTGATGATACTGCCAGGTAGGGTTACTGTCATAGGCGAGCAGGGGGTTTCATCTGGCAAATCATCAATCCCTGTTTTCTCCGTCTCCTTCCCTTTGGATCCGTTCAAAGTAGCAATTGGCGTTGGTGTGTACTGAGCAACCGTTCTGGTATGTCTGTCATCCCCTCCCATGTGTTTAATAGCGCCCAGGTCTTTAGACGAGATTCTCTTAGCTTCTGGAGACCACCTTGGGACAACTCTTGTACCTTCCCCATAGCTGTGAACACCGTTCTGCCCTGGTATTCTCTTGCTGCCTGAAAGACTATGATCTTTTCCTTCCCTCTTCCTCTTGCCCTGCGTGGTGCTCAGCACCTGTTTCAAGCTGTGCAGTTTCACCAGATTGGGAGTACTAGCAGCAAGCGGAGGTCTACTGTCTTGGGAGAGCGAGGAGGTGCTAGCTGATTCGGATGTCCTCTTGTTTTCCATGCTGTCGTGTCCATTGCACCTTGGATCAGGTTTTGCCTTCAGCTGGTTTGTCATGTTCAGCTCATCCGCAGCTTCTTCAGACTGTTATAGAAGAACAAAAGGCCAGAAAAATTTAATTTTGAAAATCTTTTCTAGTCGTAAATGTGGTAAGAGTTAGCTATGAGTCTACATGTAATAGTACTTAAACTAAATCATTCAGCAAATATGTGTAACATCTCAATGACAACAACGACCTTAACAACTGTATATGGACACCATTGCTTGCTCATTTCATTGGCAAAGGTTATTCTCAACCAGCATTGTTACCTGTTCTTCTGATGCTTGTAATCTTCCATTTGAGGCTAAGGTACTACTTGCAGCTTGTGCCTGATATTGCAAAGCTGTCTTCCCGGCAGAGTCCCTGAAAAGGATGGAAGGTATCATGAGTTACTTACTGATCTTTGCAAAACTGAAATACTTATTTATTAGCCTTAATCTGAACTGTTCCATGGTTGATATACTGAATGTTAAACTGTATGGTGATTTTTCATTGTTATTAAAATGATGTATCTTTTATGATGATCGCTTTGCATTCAACAGCATTGCCAACGTATTTTACAGTACAAAATTTTCATCCAGACAACAAAGAAAGGTGGACAAGCCTGAAATTCTGCCCACCTGATGTTGATATCTGCACCCTTGACAATGAGATAGTCCACCACATCATGGAAGCCTTCCCGACAAGCCAAGTGTAACGGGGTCGAACCATCTGGCAGCAGCTGTGGGGGAGGGACAAAAATAGTTCAATGATATGTTATTTATATGGTCGTATGATTATGATGAGGTTTAGTATAGTACCAAATATACATACTGTGTAACAAAGTAGGTAATTTTTCTTCAACTCAAGAAAAAAAATCATCTCAAAGACCTCACGATCGTTGCTCTCAACAAGGAGGTTTAGATATCCTCCTTGCTGTCAATTAAAATTAGCCACTCGCCCAATAACAGGGCGGGATTTGACCACGTGATGAATAATGTATCTGATCAAGACGAGGAACCGGTAACCATGGTTTGTACATCACCACCAACCCTATATGCGACACTGCCGATTCGTACACGAACTGCAGCCGCTAGAGGCCGCCGCTGACGTCGTCAGCGCATTGCGGAAACCATTGATGAGTGGTTCTGTACAGACAGCCGGTATGGACGGCAAGGTCGCGTCCTTTAGTTAATGTCTAGACATATAACACAGTCGGTATAATAAACTACTGACTGCACAGCCGTTCAATAGACTTTGACCGAGATCGAGCTATGGTTTTGATTTAAAGCTACGTATCGCAAACGGTCTCAAAGTCATCTACTTAATGTTCTGTGCGCTTGCTCCAGGCATTTTATGCAGGTAATATAATATTCTGAAACGTTATGCATTGAAAGCAACCCGATAACGCCATCCTATGCAAACCCCTGACCTGGCCAGGCCGGCCGTTACTCAACAGAGCCGGCGGACGATATCGACTTCCGTGCATGCTCGTTACCTCACGTGACCCTGGGCAACTGGTCATTTGAATTCAATGGTAGACTGCCGAAACTCCCATGCGTTTACCTACTACGTTGGAACAAAATTTCAGAACATTAACACTTGTGCTATATATGGTAAAGTGTAGCATTATGTCGCAAAAAAACATATACCGTGACGTTATAGTACTTGTAGCGGCAACATACGAAATGCTTGATTTCGCCTGACTTCGAGCCCCCATTTTAACGGAATGGACTATGAACCACGATTTACAATAAGCGGGGTTAACGACCGACTGGTCATGTTATTCTACAGTCGGTGCGTAACGTTTTATGAGCGCGCTGCGTTGGGCGAACCCGACGTTTAATGTTGGAACTAATTATTGTACAACGTGCAGCGCATGTAACACGGCAACTTACGCTCATTCCCATTAACGTTCGCCAAGCGCACAGCATTGACCTCTAAAGCTATCGATTGTAAGTCCATCAAACACATGCAGCACACCGCCGATTGTGGATCATTAAGCCACTGGACCCACCAAAAAGTGTTGCATAGCCGTTGGACCAAAGCGACGGGAATTGCCATGGTTTGAGAAATGACGTCATGCATGACGCACGCACCAACAATCAGTACATGCCCAACACCATGCACGGCTTCCCAGAAGTTCAACCTAATACCCGCCTCCGCCAGCAAGGCGCAGGCAAGTCTCAACTACTATGCAGCGTCGCCGACGCTAATTTCCGTCTCGCATACGGTCGATGCCATATCACAGAACGGCGAACTTTAAGTGTATTAGAGGTCAACACCGTGATGTTTGGTGGCGTAGAGGATTGGGGTTTCAGGACCAGGCCTTTTCATCCGGTTTTGAATCCGAAATTTATCAAGTTTTACTAATATCTTTACTTATTTTTCATGATGTTGTCATACATTTGCATTGAATGCTGAAAGACTTTTAATACGTTTTAAAATTTCCCTCCTCACAATAAGTTATGGTATGCACGGATGTGGCAAGGGGTGATATGTCAGACAGCTTCATCAAATGGCAACGACCGTTTACGAGACAGAAACGCGCGTCGCCGCGTGCTTCTCAAATCTCCTTAGGCTACATTCCGATTCATTGTCCCACCACGCACGGCTTCCAAGAAGTCCAACCTAATAAAATCCGCTTCCGCCCGAAGGTAGAGGGGCGAGTCTGAGGTCAAATTACAATCCAGCATCATAGCGTCTTTCCTATGCTAATTAGGGCGTGATCCTATATTGCCTTAGTTATAAACTGGGAGATGACATCGATGCTAGCCAAAACGTACAAAGACTAGAAAGGTAACATCTTCAAGGCAAATGCATAATGTTTACCTTCGCATGTGGTCTGCTCTGTTAATTCTTACTCAAACACATTCACATATATGATCAGACAGGAATCTAAATCCCCACTGCTATAAAATTGCAACATGATGTAACCCAACACTAGTTACCATGGTTCAGGTCATTGACCTTATTGGTTTGGAGAAGAAGAAGAGGAAACAGAGCAAAAACAATGTTTTCCTTCGGTAAACGTAAAAAGATGCATTACATTGCATCATATTTCTAAATCGAATGAGGTCGCTTAGAGGATGTCCAATTCCACAAGCGCGAAAACCGATGACTCATCCGACGAAAATGAACGATTCTGTCATCATTACGATGTCAGGGTGAGTAATACAACATGTTGCAGTTCATCATTGTCATTTAGGCCATGTTGATTTGATTATATGGATGACATGCGAGCGAACATGAATAATTTTCGTCCGTTTCCGAAAAAAAGGTTTGGGCCATACTATAATTGTACAAGGAAGCTGCAAAATGAGGAAATATATCTCATAAATTGCAAAACAAACATTGGAATAAATAATAATGTTGTATAAAATGCCAAAATAAATTTGAAAGGAAAAGAAGAAGAAAATGTGAAGAAATCTTCATTCTATACTCTGTGTTTAGTCATTTGTTCAACCTTCATGACCATATAGATTTTATAATTAAGTTTAACTTTTTTTGCCAAATCATACTGATGCACCGAAAACATAACCTTCTTGGCGAAGGAAATGAGGTAAAATATATCCTATATGTCGCGTTTGAGCCGTACACCTTACAACGTGACTTCATGTTCATGCCCATACGTGTCTGGCCTTACTAACAATGCCCCGCCCTGGGTACGCGTGACTGCAGAAGTGACCGAGCAGACGACAAGTTAACGTATTCAGACCCAACTGTCTGTGGACTCTCTCCGCCATGATGTCATGCGTTTAAAGGTTAACGACTTTGTAGCACGGATGGCGGCCGCCGGACAAAGTACACAGCCATGGGCGCGCCGAGAACCATAAAACAATATACTAGTAGTGTATTGATTGAAAGACCTTTGTTGTACCTTTATGCTCTTACAAGCTAAGTATAGCTTGGAAGCTAAATCATTTTCTTATGACATGTCCGGCTTTTACTGTAGATTGACAAAAATTAATGTATATAGTCACAAGTAAATTTAGTAAACCTTTGCCAAAGACAAACCTAGACAATCTACTTATGTCATGCCCCGACTCCATATCTATGTACCGAGGCCAATATGTATGTAGCGCTATAAAGAGAGACAGAATTGTGACAGAAATGCTTAATGTACATCATTTCAATACGCCATTTACGTTATATTTATGTAGCTTCGGTTTCCAGGAATAGACTAGTATGACTGTAAAGATCACATTGTCATCCTTGCCATACATTGCACCATGTACAACTGTCGAGCAATAAAGATCATTCATTCATTCATTGATCAATCCACATAGCTAATAAACAGATTAAAAATCATGAGGAATCATGAGAAACTATGTTCTTATCATCTAAACGATTTGCGTCACAGCGTCAATTAATTATGCTAATAATGTATGATTGGAGGGCAATATAAAATCAATCAATTGCATAACATCATTATAAAAATGTATCAATAATTTGAAATGTGTTCATGGGGCTATTTCACAAACAGACATACAATACAAAATCAACTGTTATGTAAAGGGAGGTTAATTTTTTTTTAACTTCCTTTACAACCGGCCACATGTGTTTCTTTTTCTATTCCAACATTTATTCATTGTTATTATTTACGAAGTGTTTTCAACTTATTTTTATGCCGCCACCAACGCAGACACACGCATAAACGAACGGCATATCCATTTGTATAAAGTGAGGAAATTCGTGTAAAGTGCCTTTCCCAAGGGCACAAGATCGGTGGCATGACAGGATTCGAACTCGGGACCTCATGGTTCCTAGCCGAACGCTCTGTCGTTACGCCACACCCACACATACGTGGCCATTTGATTTCCTTTGAGTTATAGAGCGTACAATTCAAACGTGTCTAAAAATGATCCGGAAGCAACGATGCAACCGGACCTAAGCGCCCCAAAACCCAGTCGACATCACGTACTGCACCACTCATATTACTGTGCGCTTTATGTGTAAATAGTCGATACCCCTGGGCACCTCGTACCGCCGTGGTAACGGCTTAGCGACGGTATCTTTTCCTGTCCCTCAAATCGTCAGATCGTGACTTGATAATAATATTCCCACCGATGGTAACAAGATTCGATTCCCGTGGAGTGTTCTTGAGGTGGCGTATACCCTGACAGCATACTAAAATGTGGTATCATTTTACGTTGAAAGAAAAAGTACTGGTTCAAGTACCTGTTCCCGTGCCTGGAAACATGAAATCGTGACCTGATAATATATTTCCGAACGATATCTGATTCCCGTGGAGTTTTCTGGTACTGATGCTCCGAGACGGAATACTAAAACAGTGTAATATTTCACCAAGAAGCCTTGGCCCTAGTATCATGTACAAACCGTGACCTGAGAACACATTCCGAACAGCGGTAACAAGATTCCAATCCCTTTTCTCTGGCTCATATATAGAGACATCACGTACAAGAATAGCATACTAAACACTGTGCTATTTTACGACGAAAGAAGAAAGCCAATATATTTTTTGGAACATCTCATAGCGATCGCTATACCCCCGAAGCGCATCCGCTACGGTTAAGTAAGTTACCTAAAGTCAGGATGTTACTTTGCGTACTGAATGCAAATCAACAGAGGAACGTTTAAAGCGATAACATCATGTGATTTTTCAAACCTCAAAGACATTCGTTATCTCTAAAAGAGGCCACAGTCTAGTACACGTACGGTCTTGCCACGTACGGACATAATATTGGATGTGTAAATAAAGTCATTTTTCTTACTTACTAC